TATATATATATATATGTATATATATGTATGTGTGTGTGTTTTGCCATTTCGTGAATCTTGGCTTTTTGTTGGTAGACTAATATTTTCTCCTTCTTGGTACAGTGAATCTTCTTTTTGAAGTGTTGACTTGAATTTTCCTGAATATATTGATCTAAAAAGAATTCCTGAACCCTACTTTACTATTTAATCATTGCTTCGGAAGTTGCATAACCTGAATTCATGCATCTTGATTCCTAAACTCCACCTTCTTCACAAGCTTAAATGGCTCTCTGTAATCTCCATCACTGAAACAACAATCCATGGAAACACTTCCCCTGTTACCACACTTTCTCTTCTTCCTCCTTTCTCTTCTCATCACGTTCAACCTTTTCTTCCAAAAAACAAAGCACAAAAACCTTCCACCAGGTCCACCACCTCTTCCCATAATCGGCAACCTTAACCTCCTCAAACGGCCCCTCCACCCTTTCCTCCAACGCATGTCCCAAACACACGGCCACGTCTTCTCCCTCTGGTTCGGTTCCCGTCTCGCCGTCATCGTTTCATCGCCCTCCGCCTTCCAAGAATGTTTCACCAAAAACGACGTCGCCTTGGCCAACCGACCTCGTTCCCTCTCCGGAAAGCACATCTTCTACAACTACACCACCGTGGGGTCGTGCTCCTACGGCGAGCTCTGGCGCAACCTCCGCCGCATCATCGCACTCGACGTTCTCTCAACTCAACGCATCCACTCCTTCGCGGGAATCCGTAAAGACGAAATAGAGAGGCTGCTGCGTACCCTGGCCAAGGCCTCGCGAATGGAGTATGCGCAGGTGGAGCTAGGTTTCATGTTCCATGACATGACGTATAACAACATGATGAGGATGATATCGGGGAAAAGGTACTACGGAAATGAGATTCAGTCGAAGGATTTGGAGGAGGCGAAGGAGTTCAGAGAGACGGTGGAAGAGATGCTGCAACTGGCGGGAGTTTCCAACAAGGCAGATTATTTGCCCTTACTTCGGTGGTTCGATTTTCAGAACCTGGAGAAGAAGCTGAAGAGTATTAACAAGAGATTCGATACGTTCTTGGATGCACTCATTCAAGAGCAACGCAACAAGAAGGAGAGAGAGAACACTATGATGGATCATCTTCTGTATCTGCAAGAGTCTCAGCCGGAGTACTATACTGATCAAATCATCAAAGGTCTTGTTTTGGTAAATGATTCTCAGTACTACAATTATAAATTTTCCTTAATAATGAATTTGAATTTTTTTTCTGATTTCACTCAAAGATAACCATGATAGTTTATACAAATGTTTATAGTTCAAGAGATGAATATATTATATATGGATTTCATTAGAATACCCGTATAATACAACTAAATACATGTATGCCAGAAGTATATCTAGCCTTAGTAACATGTATTTTCACCTAGTATTGTGAAATTAATACATGTTTATACTTTGGTTAACTTGTATTGTAGGCTATGCTCTTCGCCGGGACAGATTCATCAGCCGTAACTTTGGAATGGTCACTGTCAAATTTATTGAACCAGCCAGAGGTGTTGAAGAAAGCAAGAGATGAATTGGATAGCAAAGTAGGGCAAGAGCGTTTGGTAAAAGAATCAGACCTTCCAAATCTGCCTTACCTTAGAAAGATAATCCTTGAGACACTTAGGTTATACCCTCATGCACCACTGGCAATACCACATGTTTCCTCAGAAGACATAACCATTGAAGAGTTCAACGTTCCACGAAACACGATAATAATTGCTAATATTTGGGCCATGCAAAGAGACCCTGTATTGTGGGATGAAGCAACATGTTTCAAACCGGAGAGGTTTGATGAAGAGGGATTGGAGAAGAAGTTGGTGTCATTTGGAATGGGAAGAAGGGCTTGTCCGGGAGAAACTTTGGCTATGCAGAATGTTGGGTTGACTTTGGGATTATTAATTCAATGCTTTGACTGGAAGCGAGTAAATGAGGATCCCATTGATATGAGAGAGGCAGATCGGTTCACTTCATCCAGGTTAACTCCATTGAAGGCCATGTGTAAAACCCGCTCACTCATTCACAACCTTAATTTCAAATAACTTAGCTTTACTCACCTGGCTTATTTTGGATCTTTGATTAAGTGTAACATTTTATTTTGGGTATTTAGTTAGTGGAATAGTATCCACAAGTTTATATTTGCGATGTACAACTCATTAATTATATACAACTACCTAACTTAGAAAAGTTCTGGTTTTATTTTTTTTATCATCGATGTATAAATGTTGTAGCTATAAGAAATACATAAACCCTTATACATTATAAATTTAAAATGTAACACATAAGTTATCACCCAAATCCACAAAATAAGTTAGAATCCTTTAATATATATAACATCTTCTAGTCAAACAATGGCCACATGACGCCTTGTTTCATGTTCTCTTTTTACCAGACTTTAAATGCAACAATGATATACTTATTTAGTTAAACAAAGAAGAAGATAATTTAAAGAACACTAGAGATATGTAAGTATTTTAGAATCACGATCCACCCTAATTGAAATGCAGAAAATGAAGACCATAAAAGTTGTAGTTTGATATAAGAATAAGAAAGAATACATTGAAGATTATTGGAAATTGATAACCGACAGTAGCAGAGTGGAAGGATGGAGTATAATTTGAGGAAAGAAAAAGAAAAAAAAGGAACTAATTTGAGGAAAGTTGAGCGTAGAGCGGGCGGGTCTTGCACATGGCTTGAAGAGGAATTAACCTTGACAAAGTGATCCAATTATTCTCTCTCATATCAACTTTTTCATCGTTCACTCGTTTCCAATCGAAACATTGAATCAACAAACCCAAAGTATAGCTAACGCTTTGCATGGCCATGGCTTCTCCTGGGCAAGCCCTTCTTCCCATCCCAAAAGCAACCAACTTTTTCTCTTCTCCTTCAACATCAAACCTCTCTGGTTTAAAGCATGTCGCTTCATCCCACATCTCAGGATCTCTCTGCATCGCCCACCCATTGATGATCACTGCTGTGTCCCGAGGCACATCGAATCCTCCCACACTTATATCCTCCGAAGTAACGTGTGGTATGAGCACTGGAGCCGGCGGATACAACCTGAGTGTCTCAAGAATTATTTTCCTAAGATAACAAAGTTTTGGAAGGTCTGTCTCATTCAACAACCGATCTTCCCCCACCACTCTCTTCAACTCCTCTCTCGCCTTCTCCATCACTTCTGCCTTATTCAACAAATTCGACAACGACCACTCCAGAGTTCCCGTCGACGAGTCCGTTCCTCCAAATAGCATCGCCTGTTGAACCAATGCACACAGAGTTAACACATGAAAGAGAGAGTCTTTAGGAGATTATTATGAGAGTAAAACGATGAATTCGTTACCAGAGCAAGGCCTTTGATTATCTGATCTGTGTAATACTGAGGCTGAGTCTCTTGGAGTTTCAGGAGATGGTCGATCATGGAGTTCTCACGATTATCCTTGTTGCTGCGGTTCTCGTCGATGATCTTGTTCAAGATGGCATCGTACCTCTTGCTGATACGCTTCAAGCGCTTCTCCACATTCTGAAAATCGAACCACCTCAGGAAAGGCAGGTAATCGGCCTTGTTAGCCAAGCCCATGAGTTGCAGCATCTCCGCCACGGTCTCTCTGAACTCCCTGGCTTCCTCCACGTTCTTCATGTCGGTCTCCTCCCCGTAAAACCTCTTCCCGGATATCATCCTCATGACGTTGTTGTAGGTCAAGTCGTTGAACATGGAAGTTATCTCCACGCGAGCAAAACCCTGGCGCGAGTTCCTGGCCAGCCTGTGAATCAAGCGCCGGGTCTCGTCGCTTCGGATTCCGGAGAAAGAGTGGACTCGCTGGGTGGAGAGAACGTCGAGGGCGGTGATGCGGCGGAGGTTGCGCCAGTGGTCACCGTGGGAACAGGAGCCGACGGTGGTGTTGTCGTAGAAAATGTATTTTCCGGAGAGAGAGGGAAGGCGGTTGGCCAAGGCAAGGTCGTGTTTGGTGAAACATTCTTGGAATGCCGAGTGTGAAGAGATTACGACGGCGAGACGGGAACCGAACCAGAGGGAGATGACTTTGCCGTAATGCTCGGAAGTTCGTTGAAAGAAGCGGTGGGTTGTTCGATGAGGTTGAGATTTCCTATTATGGGCAGAGGAGAAGGCCCCGGTGGCAGATTCCTGACTCTTCTGCTTCCCAACAGGAACTTGAGACTGAAAAGTATGAATAGGAGGGAAAGGAGAAAGTAAGAGAAGAGCAACAGCAAAGAAGGCACTCCCATGGTTGATGTTGTTATGGAAGATATAGAGAAGTAAGTGTGGGTGTGCTTCTGCAGTTGAATTCAGTGATGAATGAAGAAGGTGACACGAGCTTTATATAGCATGCATGTGATATGAGAAGAAGAAGACAACATATATTATAATATGGTGTTGATGTTCATTTTTAAGACAAAATATGGCTGCTGAGATCTGAGAGTATAGTTTGACCTGGACTGGTTGGTGTGCCCCGCAGAATCATCTTATGCATGAAATGCTGAGGGTGATGGTCTGTGATGGTTGAATGGTATAGGTCAACACCAACAAATTCCCAGTTATATTAATATTATAAATCAATTATTTCTAACATCAAATTTCTATATTGTCGGGCTTTCTGTAATAATTTAATCTTCTGGCTGGCTGTGATGGAAATGAAGTAGCCACCCTCCGTACAGCTATATTTGACTCTCATGCATTCAATCTACTTTGAAGATGCTCCCATGATATTTCAATTTTGATCATATATAATGTTTTAATCAACCATGATTCATAAATGTTCTAAATTTTATGACTTAATCAGTCATTAAATAAATAAAAAAAACAATCATTCATTCTGTCACTGATTATATATATTTTTTAGTTATTGAATTTGATCAACATTTTTGTTTCTAATAATAATGACTTATAATTTCAACCAGTTACTAAAAACCATATTCGTGTATGTCATTGTGAAATGAGATGGCCCTCATCATATCATGCATGAACACGAATAATTTCAAATCGAAATTAATATAAAAATAAAATTCTAGATTGTCATGCCATAACTCAATCTTTTTTCTCTAGATTAGTTGGAAATAAATCTCCATGCATGCTACACATCTAACTCCGTCAACTTTAAATTAATTAGAGGTAATAGGAATTGTAATCATATAATATTAGTAACATAACATTCAAAGTCGACTGAATTTAATATTATATTGTTTCCATGTTTAGTTTGAATGAGTTATTGCACACAAATAAAGAAAAGTAACCGTCTCAAAGGAATAGATTTAGTACACATCACTCCAAATTCAAAGTCAAACATCCGTGCTCTGTTTCAACCTTATTTTCAATCTTTAACATGCAAATAATCAACCACCACGAAAAATCATTTCGGCCAAAATAACAATAATAATAATTATATCACTCAGTATTTTGACACTTTTTTTTAAATATGTTTCATATTACATAATATAGGTACCTTTGTACATTTATTTCTATTTAAAATTAATAAAATAAGGAAGATAAGTGTAATTTTCAAGTAAAAAATATGGGTAAGCCCTCCTTTTGATTTTAGAATTATTTTTTTGGTTCTTTTTATAATTATGATAATTAGTTACCTATCATCAAAATTTTTATTGCGCAATATAATTTGTTTTATCAGAGGACACTTATAATTACAATAATAACCTATGAAAATAATGAATAAATTAAATTAAATTAAATTAAATAATATATTTAAAATAATGAAATTTAATATTTTTATGGAATTATTTTTGTAATTATAATAATCAGTTTACTCATTTTGTTCGTCATACATATGTATTAATTAAAACTTCATTATTTCAAAACTAAATTTGTTAATCAATTATACATATACAAAATATCAATATCGGTTTTTAATTATATATTGTTATGAAAATATCTTATTGTATAGGAAGATGTCACTGTGACACTAATCACTTTTTGCAAATGACTTTTTATTTATTTTTAATTCTTAGACATGTTACTTTAGCCCACGGGTCTTGACCCGATTCACATCTACTAGAGTTAAGAAAATTCATAAGTTCAAAAAAATACATACAAGAAAAAGTCTACACATACTATAAGAAGTTCTATAAGTCAAGGTCAACTACTAAACCATTTTCTTAGATACGAAAAATATATTAACCTGTGATATTTATACTCAACATAATCTAATTTAAGTGGTTAATATCGACATTTTACTTTNTTTGGACACTTCCAAGAGTTTTTTCTCAGCACAGATCCATTATTGGTTTGAAAATGGTTAAAATAATTGAAGTTGTGTGTTTTATTTAATTATTTAAACTGAATTTTATCCTTGTATATATGTTGATTTATATATGTTCGATCATGATTTTTTTTTTCTGCTATGAAATGCAGGATGTTCTACTTTTTCTTTGAGTCAAGGAACAGAAAGGATGACCCAGTTGTGATATGGCTAACTGGAGGGCCAGGGTGTGGCAGTGAATTGGCTTTGTTTTATGAGAATGGCCCTTTTCATATTGCCAATAATTTGTCTCTTTTATGGAATGATTATGGTTGGGATCAGGTGTGATCAATTTCTAAGTTTCTTTCTTTCACTCAAAGTGTGCCATGAGTAGTTCAACCATAAAACACATGGTCAAAAAATTGGTGAAATTTATTAGATTAGAGATAACCTGTAGTTGTTACACCAGTTTTTACCATAGTTTTCTCATTTTGCAGGCATCAAATATTTTATTTGTTGACCAACCTACTGGTACAGGGTTTAGTTACACTTCTGATCAAGCTGACATTCGTCATGATGAAACTGGCGTTAGCAATGATTTATATAACTTCTTGCAGGTAAAAAAGTTAACATAAAGTTCCTTTTTGTCCCCATTCATCAACTTAGCTGCAGTTTTATAAGTACTTGTAATGATCATTTTAATTAAAATTAACTTTTCCACTTTAATAACTTAATATTATTTTTTTAATACGAATACTTTTTATTTGCATGAATCTGATTAAAAAGTAACCTTGGGAACATACGTGGAACTGTATTTAAATTCTGTCAATTCTGAATAAAAGATATTCCTGCTGTGTATG